ATTTCAGGTGGTTCTGAGTGATGATTGTTCTATAGTTTAGTTGTAATTTTGATGTGGTTGTAGGAGGAGGTGAGTACCGCATTTTCTCCAGTACGTGTTTTATACTTACAACACATTTCAGTTTAGACAAGTCAAAGTCACACTTCAGCCACTCAGTAGACACACGTGCTAGTGGCTGCCACGTTGGAAAACTCAGGTTTCACACGTTTGCTGTGCAATGTGCCAAATGTCACACAGCTTTGAATTTGGCAGATTCAATAGTTTTGGTCAGTATTTTGTTCTCTTTGCCCTCCTTACTACATTGACTTGTTCCTAAGTGCAGCATTCTGATACCTAGCTTGAACTTGGCATTTGCAAGATTTGAGAAGATTCATGCAGAGAAGTAATGGAAACAGAAAAATAAAAGACGTGACTAAATCTGAAAATGCTATAATAGTGGCAGTGGTCACATTTAGAATTTTTAGGTGACAACTTCTCATAGATGCAGAAAAAGTTTGCCTCTTTTTCACAGTGAGAGATGTAGAAGGCTGGGCATATACAAATAACTGTGGGAAAAATAGGCCCTTCTCAAACGCTGACTTTATAACTCAGGTGGTTTGCATGTGAGGCAAGCAGAGCTTCTGCAATGGGGCAGATAAGAAAGAGGAAGAAGCATCTTTACCTCTGGTTGAGGAAACCAACTCAGCTGAGCTTTGAGGGATGACTGGGTGATTTACAAAATCCAATAGGTGTGGAAAACTCAAGTGTTGCTGTGGGGATGGAGTGAGGGTGTGCCTCAATGTAGTGGTCAGGAGATGGCAAGAGGAATTTAGGGGGCAGCCTTTGTTCTTGGGTATCTGAGCACAGTTTCTGGTGGGATCCAGAGATAAGCCCCAGGTTTGCTGTCTCCTGACTCCACGCTGACATCTGTGAGGGAAATACTTCTCAGAATCTTCTGTGTCTCATAGATGTACCTTAGAATATGTAAAGTTGTACCTTAGAATATGTAAAGTTTCTCTTTTTTTCCCCTAAAAAAATCAGTATATGTTACCGTTCAACATTTCTTTGTCATTGTTGTTTTCTTTCAGCATTTGCTCAGAACTTTGCACTGGTTTCCATCAATGGTACTGTTCACTAGCTTGGTTCTGCATCTCGTTGGTGTTGATGATTTTGCTGCATGTTGAAAAACATAAGTATTTGGGGTTTGGTCCTTCTAAACCATGATGGGATGGCTAAACCTAGGTAGCTCAGGATATAGAATATGCTTAGGGAATTGCAATGTTGATTTCAGGGTTGGGTCAGGCTGAGGAACAAACTTGGAACTCTGATTCGAGGATGAGTTGCTAGTGTTGGCTACATGACATTGCAGGGGCGTGGGTACCCTCACGGCCCTGGGGAGAATTCAGGTTGCTTGAGGGCTTGTGCTCATGTAATTCTCTTGCTTGGAGCTTTCTCCCTTTCATCCCAATGCTAATTTTAAAAGTTAGAATTTTCTTCTATACTAGCTTAAGAATTTCCTTTACAATTCTTCTCAAATCAACTCATTCATTCATTCATACATTTATTAAATATATTTCTTCAGTGTGCAAATGTTTTTTGGGGCACATTGAGCTAGATGCTGGAGCACAATACCAGTAAAGCCTTTGTCTTCATCCCCAAAACTTACTACTTGGTGAATTCTTCTCACATCATCCCACCCAGATCAGGCCACGACAGTCTGTCCAGTCATTTTTCAATATTCATGTAATTGGTTTTGTGTTCAATTTGTTGTTTTTATTCCTAGTATATAGTCTGAAGTGGCGTGACTCCTCTGAACAACTAGACATTTTTATTAGTGAAAATTATGCTTTCTTCTTTCTTTCTTTATAACTCTTTGCAGAGCCTGATACTTCGCAGAGAGTGGGGCCTAATACACATTGCTAACTTTCCTTCCAGGGTTCGTGAATGGTGTCAGTTGATAACTATTTCTACATGTGATTGCTATTGTTAATAGGCATTGGAGGGGTTTTGGGGATGGACTCAACAGACATAAAAAGGGTTACCCCAACACAGTCTCTGTAAGTCATCTGTAAACTAAACACAGCCTCTATTGTCCTTTCATACACCAGACCCCTTAAGATACTCCCTTCTCAAAGTACCAAGTATGTTTGGCATTGGTTTCTAATGACAGGAGGTGAAATGAAGGCTCTGTCTATGTGGGTAGCTTTTCTCTGTGTTGTAACTGTTCAAGAACCGCAGCAGTAGGGAATTCCCCGAATGAAGTGCATAAATAGCAATGTTCCTCCACGCTGTCAGTGAGGAATGCTGTTCCTCAAGTGAATTTCAGTGACCCCTTACTTTACAGGGAGCCCAGTGTGGGAACAAATTTTTATAAATAATACATTGTTTGCTTTGCCCAGCTGATAATTTCCTTCTGTCTATGAGGCTGTCAAATAACCAGGAAGCTTATTGTTTCTTAGGACAAAGGTATTTGCAGAGAAACTGATCAAACTATTATTATTAATAATCTCATTACGGAGGCATCACCAATGCTTTTGTGCTCTTGAGGCTACCAAATAGATTAAAGTTGTGTTTTGAAAATAATGGAGGCATGCAGGAACAAAGGCGCTTGTGAGCAGGGGTGGGAGGCTGGTCCTTTCCTGGCTGGGGCACACTTGTGTTTGGGAGGAAGCTGCCTCATTCCCAGAGGGATGCAATGCATGTGGAAGGGGTCTCCTAAAGGTAGTCATGACCGTGGGCTACCGTTGTTAATGAGATTTTTTTTGGAGAAGGGCAGTGACATGTTCCTTGAAAAAAAGAACAAGGAAAACTCATTATAGCCACAGACAGAGGCGACTAACAAATGAGATGAGATTTTTGCCCTTTGCTTTGCTTTGCTGGGAATCAAAAGGAAGAGGGGGAGCTGCGATGGGAGGGGGAGAGAAGCTCTTCTCCCTGTATCCATATTCATAGCCTTCAGTGGCAGGATGATGGAGGCAGTGTACCCATATTTCATTCTCACACATGCTTTTCCTGGCTTGGACTGGCCATCGAAGTGGCTAGAATATTCAACCAAAGAGGCCAGGGTTGAATCTCTTCCCACAGAGAACAGTGAATTTCACAGCCTTCATTCTGCCCCAGGGGGCTCTGTCCAAGTGGAGCAAGAATGTTCCAAACATTGCATGGGACATATACTAAAAAGATGATTTGTAATTTATCTGACACTCAAATTGGACTGGGTGTCCCGTATTTTTATTTGCTAGATCTGGTAACCTACATAGGGTAGAATATAAGAAGTGGGGGCTTCAAAATGCTCCCCCTACCCTAGAAGAGCTGGCCATGGATGATTGTCCTTGACCTCAGTCTTCAGCACAGATCAGCTTTGGAGCAGATCTGTAGGTAGATGCTGTTGTTTCCAGAAAGCTTCTGGGAGAATGCTCCAGTCCTTCTTGGGTTTACTGTAACCACCTCTAACCACCTGAAGATGGGTGTAAGACGGGCGTGAGGAGACACCCTGTGTGGTGTGAAGGTGTATTTTAATGTGGAGGCAGCAATATCAGCCTGGATGGTTGGAGGAGTGTGGACCTTAAAGTCGGGGAGACTGACCTGGGTGGGATTTCCACTCAGCCCTCTGGGGCAAGGGGCAGAGTGGGGTGCTTGACGAGGGCTGCAGCCCCAGTGCATGTTGGGTACACCAAAAGGAGAGGCTTGTCCTTCTTCCCCCTTCTCTCTCTCTCTCTTCTCACTCTATCATTCTTGTTCCCTCCCCTGAGTATCTGAATAGTTTATCAAGGATTTAAGACTGTTTCTCACATTCTCAGTGTTTATTGTGAGGGTTTGTGGAGCCCATGAGGTGAAAGAAGCCTTCAAACCAGGTCGTCCAAATGCTCCTGGGGTGGACGACGGTGAAGTGGGGCAGGGACCTCCTTTCTCGGTTTTGAAACCAACACCCTTAAACATTGTGCCATGCTTTAGAAAACTAAAAACAAAACAACAACCAAAGAGCACAAGAATCTGACATTTGTATAACACTTCCAAGCTTAGCAAATGCCCATATCATATTTTATTGAATTTTACCAATTTAGAAAGTGTCACAACACTAGAGGAGCTAAAGGACTCGCAAAGGCCACTGAGTGACAGAGCTGGTTTCCATTATTCAGGCCAACACCTTTCCCTGCAGGGAGGAAGACTGAGGGCACAGAGATGTGTGACATGTTGGAGGGGCAATGGAGCCTAAAGACCATCCCCATGTCTCAGTCCCATGGTGAATGACTCTGGAACACCTGGCCAGCGCACACGAGGGTCTGGCACAGTGGAGCTCCAACAGAGTCCTCTGGAGAGGGAAACTGCTCACCATGAGTTTCCCTGCCTGGGTCTGGGGCAGCCTCCTCTTTGGTTCTTTCTCCTACATGGAGCCCATGGTGGTGAGTGCTACGTGTGCAGAGCCCTCACTGAATTCCCAGGGAGCAGAACACTGCTGGTCCTTCCTCCAGTGTGGGTTGTTGAGACAACTCGGTCTAGAAGCTGACATTGCAAGGGAGAGGTCAGAGAACCTGGAGTAGCAACTGAAGAGCGAATCACACCCTGAGGAGGTGCCCTCAGTTTCTGAACGGAGTTCCCACCTTTCTCTGGAGAGCAGCCTTCAGTGAAATGGCCACTGGAAGCGGCTGCTTGGCCAACGACTGCGGGCTGCCTTTGCCCCCAGGACCTCCAAGCTCTGTCTTATCCACAAACACTACTTTGATATGGTCTCGTTCAAGGAAGTAGCCCGTTGGAAATGAGATATTAGGCTTGAAAAAGCACATTTGAGTTAATATTTGGCAGGTGATAGCCAGATCAAGGGGCAGCTGCCGCAGCGGGGCTGAGTGACTAGGTGTGGAGGTGACTCAGGTTCCCAGGTGTCCATACCCTCCCAGGGCTGTCACATGCTCCCTGGTGGCTTCCTCTTTCTCCACAAACTGGCCGTGGGGAAATCCCCACTGGGCACTATAAGAAGCCCTGGACTCCGAGCAGAAGCTACCTGCTCCAGACAACAGCACAAGATGCGGTCCAGCCTCCCCTTCCTAGAAGCCTTCCTGTTCCTCCTGGGCCCAGCTGCAGGGGATGTGACTACCCTGAGCCCTGAGCCCAGCCCCAGGGGCTCCTTACCCCTCACTGAGTTCAGCCCCCGCTTCATCTCTGGCTCCAGCTCCAGCTCCAGGGGTAGCAGCAGCAGCGGCTTCGGATTTAGTTCTGGCTCTGGCTCCGTGTCCCAGGTGAGCAGGCCCCAGGGTCTGAGAGCTGCCTTCATTCCCTTCCTCCCTCTTTTTGGGGACCTGGATATAATTTCATGGATGGCTAGACCTGAGCACTCTAAAAGATTTACGACTCCCTTTGTTAACTCTAGGCACCATGGAAATGAATTAAAACCTGGGTGAAATAATTAAATTGTTAGCAAGAGAGATGACATCTCAGTTCTCCGGCCAGCAACTTTCAGGAAAGAATCTAGGCGTAAAAGAGGTCTCTACCCGGCTGCACTTCAGAATGGGAGAAGGCATGGGAGGGGCGGCCTCCAAGTAGCGATGCCCAGGTTCCGTCCGGGGTGAGAACTGTTGGGGAAGGGGCCCTGCCAGGCGTAGGTCCAGAAAAGTTTGTCCAATTCATTTAGTTCCCAGCAGGGCCCCTGCGGATGGTGCAGGACAGCCCTGGAGGGAGAGAGTCCCAGTGCTCACAGCTTCTCTGAGGTTTGTAAAGGAGGTGGTGACAGAAGTAGGGGGAGGAGACATTGGTCTCTAGGAAAGTGTTATTACACACAGACATTTCCCTGGAGGAATTTTTAGAGCCATTTCTAGCTCAAAACAACAAAGAAGTAGCAACAACCAAACCAACAAAGCAAACCATGCACTAGACAAAGACTAATCCCGCCGGGCTGCATCACTAGAACTCCTAGTGAGCCCAGTTCCTCAGGGGATGAGTCCTAGGGATCTCCTTTAAGGAAACAGGAGGAGACATGGAGGGTGAGAAGTTCGGGGTGAGAAGCAATTCCTCACTTCTGTGTCCACATCAGCTCTGGGCCTTTCAGAAGGGGCTTTGCTCTGCAAGACCTAGGCTGTTCATGCTAAGGTGTGACTTCGGGTGCAGGGGTCTTAAATCCCCGGAGCTCACCCCCCTGCATTTCTATGGTCAGGTCAGTTCTTACATGATCGTGTCTGAATGGAAGGGCCAGTAGAAAATGGGGAGGAAAATACTTTTGTTTGTTGTTTTTGTTTTCAACAGTAGGGCTAATATAGGAAATAAAAATGTGTTGATTAGGAAATGGTTTGGATAGGACCCAGAAAGAGATGGCAGCAATGCTGTTCACTGGGTACCTAGTAAATACCAGGAATACATTAAGAACATAATATATAGTATCTTATTTATTCCTAAAAGGTATATAAGATTAATGATACCATTGTAGAGATGTGAAAACTGAGGCTTAGAGAGGTGAAGCCATTGGCTTAAGGTCACTAAGGTGGCAAGAGCTATGGCTCAAACTGTCTGCCCATGCTCTTCATCATCTCTCTCCATGCAGCTTTCTGTATTTTCAAGGCACACAGATGAAAACTGCTTATTTTTAAGAGGAGAATACTTGGGAATCATGAATATGCACAAAGATTCTTTGTAGCCAGAAACAAGATGCATCATTTTATTTCCTCTAAATAAATGATTTTGACGAAAACAGAACTTATTAACATTTTTTAAATGAGCTAACAATAATAATTTATTTTGAAACTTCACCACCACCAATCAGAAATGAGCATTTGAATAAGACGATCAGTTAAATATTAGAAAATAAAATGTAGGTCAAGAAACAGGGACATACAAAATGCTATTGTCTAATAAGGAGATTAATATTTAAAAGCAGATAAGAAATGATAGTTGAACTGTACTTTGAGGTTTTGATTTCTTTGCCGGTTTGCTTCTCTTCCTCTGGTGAGTCAGTATCACAACTCCAGCCTCTTTTTACAGCGGACTGCAAGGTGTCACTTCCACCGTAAACCCAGCTCTCTAGGGCTGGCTGTCAGCTTGATGAGCTCTTTGGAAAGTGGTGAAAAACCCCTTCATAACTGTCATTGAGCAAGTTCCAAATGTATCATTTTCTGTACTTTGAAATGTTGAGCACCATTATTTCATGCCTGAATCTTCACAGGCACTTAGACCTGGCTGCTAATTAGAGCCACTTGCAACCTCAAATCACAAATGTGAGTCACACCTTCTGCTGTAGGGCTCTAAGCCCCCGGCGCCTCCCAGAAGGGGCCGCTCTCAGGGTCCTCGGTTCACGGAGAGAGGAGGCTCCATGCTTCGCTCCCCACACTGACTGGCAGAGTCAGAACCGGAAGGAGTCCTGTGCTTTTGTCAGCAGGCTAAGGGGCTTGTTGAAGAAAAAATTAAATAAAAATAGACATCTAAGGCCTTTATCGTGAAAATGGGCCTGATCCCTGGGCAGAAATCAGGTCTTGTCTCTCTCCCTCCACCAGGGCCTGGCACGTGGTCCACGCCAGTAAATGTTAATTGAACACATGCTGAGTGAGCACCTGCCAGTGTAAGGTGTCTTGTGAGTCACTCAGGGTCCTATTTGTCCTCCACCAGGGGGGTTACATACCCTTCCAATAAGCAAAGGGACAAGCACTTGCCTTTGTCTTCCATTCCCATTACACACAGACAGAGTTTAAGCATTCACCACAGAGAAAGACCCATCACCATTAGCTTCATTGTCTTTGAATGTGAGGAGCAGAAATATCTCTAATGGGAGACACTGATCAAACTTATGGACCATTTTGATGTCAGCTAAGCACGCTGGGCTGATGATAAGCAGGACGGCAGCTGGGGACTCCCCAGCACTGGGACAGAGATGTTCAATAGACGCAGGTGGAATGACTGTCAGCAGGGCTCATAATTATTTGCCTGCCTTTCAGGTGAACTTCAGGAGTAAAAGTTGTTAGCTAGTGGTTTCTAGTTGCCAGTCTGAGACTGCCTGATGATCCGCAGTGTTTTCTGAGTTGACAGAGCTTTTCACAGGACTCGGAGAATGGTCCAATGCTGTCTTGTGCAGCTAATTAACCTTCCCTTGTCCAAACGAAATGTAAGAGTTTTTTTTGGCAGGTGGTTATTTTAATAAGCCATTTCTTCAAAAGTCCATGATATATTGGTCCTTCTGTAAAAGCCTTGGCATGCTTGAGCTGGAGTCTCTATCTTCAGAGGGAATGATAAAGCTGTTCCAAGGGAAGCTGGCCTCTGTGACAGGTTCCCAGAGTGGCTTGTCCGGTCCTTATTCATTCTGGCAAAACCCTTCAATTACCCTCCTCCCAGCCCTGGTGTTCAGCATAAACCTGCTTGTCCCTCCTCTTTATTCCTCAGTTTCTACAGGTGTGGGTGTAATTGGCAAAAAAAAAAAAAATTGAGGCTATTATCAGGAATTTACTTAACATAGCTTGGAGTACAAATTTTTACACGCACACACACACATTTCCATTCTTTGTGCTCATTTTAAAGAAGATTAGGTTAAATTTACAAGCAACTTAATTGTAAAAGCCAGAGATCACTGGTGGAATAAATCTTGATTATAGAAGCATCTAGATCTAGGTCCAGCTTGCTGGCGAATCATGGACGGTGGAGGACATTAAATGCACTGAACACACAACCTTAGCTGCAGCCAACTGACCTCCTAAACTTTGAGAGGTGTAGCCTGGATTTCTTTCAAACTCTGCAAACCATTGCTCTCCTCATGATAGTTTCAGAAACAGACACTTCAGGTTGACATTCCACAGGTGAACTTTGGGAGGGCCCTTAGATGACATCACTGAAAAGCACAGCCAGGCAGCTGCCAAGAGTAATAGTAAAGCAATAGGAGTAATAAAAAATGTTAATTGTGGCAGGATCTCCTTGAGGAAGTTCAGAGGGGACAAAAAAAACCCCACATAGGATCTTTCAAACCTGTCATTTTAACATATGCAGTGGCACCGAAGTGTGAGCCTGAATATTTTAAAGAAATGTCAAATATTTTAAAATGACTTTCCTGAAAGTGGTAAGCTGGAAAACTTTTTAAAAATTTGCACAAAACCTTCAACCTCGTACATTGTTCAGTTTTTAACAAATGGCTGGTTTGTTTCCGTTTTGAAGGATGTTAATTATACCATTTCCCAACTGAAGAGAGGATGTGAATTTGCTTCTGTATTTTCACTGTGACCCGTATCCTGGATGTTATCCTATTTCTGAGGGGAGAAATTGGGTTGGGGTTTGGGTTAAGGTGAGGAAAAGAAAATGAGTAATTAGAAGGAAAAGGAGAGTAACTTTTACTGATCACCCACCATGTGCCAGGAACTTGGTTTAATTTACATCACACAGTGAATCTGGAGGACAACCCTGGGAAGTAGATTATCTCTACTTGACAGATCAGGAAACAGACTGAAAGAGGGCTCTTGTCTGGTAAGTGGTAAAATTAGAATGTAAACTTAGGACTCTCATTTGTTCTTCATTTCCCTTTCCTTACATAGGGACAGTAATAAATTCCTTTGATCCTCCTCAAGAAAGGAGAATCTTCTTTTATTTCAAAAACATTTTTTTTTTCTGTACTGATTTTAGAGAGAGAGGAAGGGAGAGGGAAAGAGAGAGAGAAACACTGAGGGAGAGAACGTCGATTGGCTGCCTCCTGCATGCCCCCCACTGGGGATCAGGCCCACAACCTGGGCGTGTGCTCTGACTAGGAATCGAACTGGCAATCTCTCAGTGCATGGGTCGATGCTCAGCCACTGAGCCACACTGGCTGGGCGAGAAACTTCTATTAGATAAATGTGGCTGACATTGTGGTTTAGCCCCATGGGTGAAAATGTGGCTAAAATGCTAAGAGCAGTTACTGCAGGTGAAACATGCAGTTTTAGCTTGTTCCTGTGATTCTATTCATGTATGTATTGGACTCTACTTGCTGGCCTCAAAGCACGCTTTCAACGAGCCAATTTCTGACACCCTAGTTGCCAAAAAGCTCATTTCTCACTTCATTACTGACGTCGAACTTATTTTTATTTACAGTTTTCCAATTTCACCGGCTCCAAGGATGACCGCGGGACCTGCGTGTGCTCCGTCGCCCTGCCCGACACCACCTTCCCGGTGGAGAGAGTGGAAAGGCTGGAAACCACAGCTCACATCCTCTCCGAGAACATCAAGACAGAGCTTTCTAAAGTAAGCCTATTTTTCCTTTCCAACAATCTATTTTTTTAATTCCTCACCCGAGGATATTTTTCTACTTATTATCAGATAGAGTGGGGGGGAGGGAGAGAGAGAGACAGAGAGAAACATTGACCTGATAGAGCCACATCAGCTGGTTGCCTCCCGCACCACCTGACCAGGCAGAGGACAAACCGCAACCGAGGGACGTGCCCTTGACCGGAATCAAACCCGCGACTCATTGGTCCATGGGCTGATGCTCTAACCACTGAGCCAGACCAGCCAGGGCTCCGACCATATCTTAATAAGAACAAACAAAACAAAACACTTTAAAAATTTAATTTATTGGGATAACAACTGTTAATAACATTATATAATTTTCAGGTGTACATTATAATTCAACATCTGTGTACTCTATTGTGTGCTCACTACCCGAAGTCCAGTGTCCTTCTGTTACCGTACATTTGACCCCCTTGTACCCTCCCCCAACCCCCTTCTTCCCCTGGAACCACCAATCTCTTGTCTGTATCTCTATGTTTGTTTTGTTCACAAGATCCTTTTTATTCTGGACTTTCTAAGCAGCTGTTCTTACTGTATCAAAGACAGCATGTTTGCATTCTCTGGAGGCTTTAGCATTCATTTATGGTACACCTGTGGAATTCCTTGTAGGAGGAGAACTGAGGGCATGGGAGAACGTGGGATGGAGACTTCATGCCACGGATGAAGCCGCTCCCGTTGGAGGTGCCCATGCAGGGGACAGAGGCTGGAGCGCTCCCTGCAAACCCCAGCTCCACAGTTGTTTCTGTTTTGTTTTCAATTTCCTTTGGTTTTCTTCTTGGTCTTCTCTTCAGCTTTGTTTTCTTTTTTTTTAATCATCCTCACCCGAGGACATTTTTTCATTTTTTGTTCAGGTAGAGTGGGAGGGAGAGAGAGGAACAGAGAGAGAGAGAAACATCGATGTGAAAGGGACACATCGAGTGGTTGCCACCCGCACGACCAACCAGGACCGGGGACAAACTGCAACCGAAGTACGTGCCCTTAGCAGGAACCAAACCCGGGTCTCTCCGGACCGCAGGCCGATGCTCTAACTGCTGAGCGAAACTGGCCAGGGCAGCTTTGTTTTCTTTTCTTTCCTCTTCTCTACCCTCTTTGTATTCTATTTTATCTGCCTTCTCTTTCACGTTTTTCTTCTTATTCCTATTCCTTTGCTCCTTCCCTGTCTTTCTTTATTTCTCCCCTTGCCTCAGTCCTTTCCCTCATCCACCACCCTGATCTTCCTTTCCCTTTCCTTCTCAGTTTCTTAAAACTCTTTGGTTTTCTCTTACTTTGGGGAGGCCCCTTCTCTTCCCCTTCCTTCCCCTCCTCCACTCCCCCGAATCTCCCACCTCTAATCCCCCTTCCTTTCTTCCTCTTTCTCTCTCCTCCTATGTCCTTGTTCCAATTTACTTTCTTTTTCCCTCTCCCCTTCACTCTCTTTTTTTGGTGGTTATCGTCTATTGTCACAGTGGGAACATTGCATCCGCTGTATACAGCATTAGACCAAAACTGAAGGCTTCTTCAGGATTTGAATCAAGACAAATAGGTCACTCACCTTGGGAGAGGCCTTGACTCCACCCCCCGGTGAGGTGAGCGTGCTCCTCCAGTGGAGGAAGTCGTGGCTCGGGGCTCCCCTGTCTCTGCACTGGCTGAGCAAAGGGCCTTGGCATCCCGTTGTGACCCTTTCTACCTTTTTAGCCACGTTAAAAATCAGTTATAAAGGCTCCCATTTTCTGCACAGGTGAAGTTCACGCTCAGCTATAATCACATTATACATTATTAATTACCACTCCATTAATTTACAAGGAGCTCTGGCCTGCCTGCAAGATTCAAAATAAGTTTTCCCGAGACATTTAAATTTAGCTACCAAAACATCCAGCATCGTTATCCTTTGAGACAAAAATGATGGTAAGGCTGACACCCTGCTTTCAACCTGAATTGGTAGATAAATACTCTTAATTTAAATGGGTGTCCAGGAAAATGTGTTTGACTACTCCAGGAACCCAGCTTTTTAAGAAAGAAAATGTCCTTGAATTAATCAGCAGAAAAGGCATAGCACTAAATTAAATTCCAGCCATTAATATTCATAGCCCCATTCCAGCATAATCAAGTACAGATAAGAAGTTATGCATAAAAACATAACAAGTGGAGGAAAATCCTAGGTAAAGATCTTCTCAGTTAGAGTCATTTGCTTTGAAATCGTGCGAGCTCCTGATTTGCATGTCTTCTCCACTGGCAGGCGTGTGAAGGGCAGTGTGGAGCCCCATGCTGCTCTGCGAGAGCAGGTAGCTTGCCAGGTTTGTGAATGTGGGACATTTAATTCCAGTTCTGTGAGGGGGGCAGGTGGCATCTGCCTTGCTAGTAATTGGCAGGGAGGAAATGCAGAGTAGGTGGGAAAACCTTTAGTTCTGAAAATGTCAGTAGCTGGTCCTCAAAAAGTTTGTGGTTGAGGCCTAGGAAAGGAATAGCCCTGCCTGTTGAGATTTGCCGTTAGATAGGCGTGGCAGGTGATCAGAACGATCACAGCAACGTGGAGTTTGAGTCTTCCGAATTAATCCCAGTTCTTTTCTTTCTCAGCCATGCTGATACCATCCTCCAGTGCAGACCCAAGAAGAGAGGCAGTCTCTCTGGCCTTAGAGGTCACTAATGCCTTCAAATCCAAAGTTATTTCTTTAGCTGAGGGCTTTTGAATTTCCAGGTGAATTATTATAGCTGTCCCTAGGTTGCCTTGGAAATCACAGTTTATCTAGAGGCCTGGGGAAATGCCCATTTGGGCAGGCCGGTAGAAAAGGGTTTTGATTGCGTTCCATTGATTCATTATCTGCCAGTACACAGAGAAGACTTACATCTCTGTCTAAGATGCTGAAAGCATTTTATACGTTTCTGCTTATGATATGTCCTCTTGCGACTGTACTTAGGGAGGGGACGATTACAAAAGGCAGCTCAGGATTTTATTTCTCTGGAAGGTTATGGTCTTTGGGGAAAGTTATTTAATATCAAGCATTTGCTAGTAGATCCTCATGCATGAGAAGGCTGAGGCAGCCTATGAGACATTTAAGTAACCCATAAACAAGCAACATTGATTGAGCAATGTTTTGTGCAGTGAAATATAATAAATTAAAAGGTCAGATGGAAAAAAAACCCAAATCACTGTTTCTCTAATAATTGCTGTAATTTATAGGGTATCCTTTATGCTAGGCACTTAATATATATTATCTCCAGTCTTCATGTAAGCTTGATAACATTACCCCCAATTTATAGAAGGAAACTAAAGCTTAGAGAAATTGTGATTTGCCCACTAAGTACTGGTCAGATTAGAGTTTAGGTGGGTATGGCTCTGAAGTGCTTCATATGTCCTGATGGTCAAGTCAAGTTCATTTAGTCTGAATGCCTTTATTTTTAAAGATGTATTAAAATAAGACTATGCTGCAAAGTTATTTACTTATTTCAAATAACCTGGCCATAGTTATGATCACAGATTTTGGGAAGCTGGTAGAAACACAAGCCAGACTGCCTGGCCAGTGTGGCTCACTGGACGGAGGGTCTTCCCACAGACTAAGAGGTTCTGGTTCAAATCCCAGTCAGGGCACATGCCCAGGTTTTGGGCTTAATCCCCAGTAGGGGGCGTGCAGGAGGCAGCTGATTAATGTTTTACTTTCACATCCATGTTTCTATCTCTCTCTCTCCGTTCCTCTCTCTCTCTAAAAAAAAAAAAAAATCATTAGAAATATATTAAAAAAAAAAAAGAAAAAAAACATAAGCCAGACTAATTCTTTAGCTTAATAGCCTTCTGTATTGCATCCTTATTTATTGCAGGACCACATTTATTGTACAGAACAAGAACACACATTCCAGAACAAACCCCCAAACACACTTTGATTCTTAGAACCCATGGATGACAGAATGTGTGCACGACGAGTGTGAGCACGGAAGCTCCGAACATTCGGCTGGGGGTGGGAGGCAAGGGTGGATGATCTTCTGAAGCTCCAAGTTGTGGTGATGAGGAGCTTTGGGGAGAGAATTGACACAGGGATGTGTCTCCTTAGGGCTAGATTCGTTTTCTTGCTACACGTCCTCTGCCAAGTGGGGCTGTCTCTGCTAAGACTGCAGCTTCCGGAGAGGGAGAGCTGGGATGGTCTCAGGATTTTCCACACCATCCTCGGCATTAGCGATTTGTACATGTGAAAGGTTTATACCAACAATCCACCTAGATTAATCAAGTTCACACGGTGAAGGTTTTCTGGCTCATCCTCGAATTCTCCCCTGCCTTCCAGAACTCCATGGATGATGCGAGTTTTCTCGAACGTCACTGAGCTTGCCTTTCCGCATCGGCTGAAAGACCCTAAGCTCTTCCCCAAACAGATCTTCAGAGACCTTCCATTTCACGGCCGAACTAGTGCAGGCACACCACACATCTCGGGGGAAAAGCTCCAAGTCAGGCCTCGGTGTTCAGTGAGAGCCACACTTTATTTAGCACAGATGACAGTTGAATCACTCATTTTTGTAGGACAACAGCTGCGATGTGCCACCAAAATGTTCCAGGAAAGCGGAGGGTGTTTCATTTTGATCCAAGAGCTGGCAAGGCTAAATGCCAACAAGAATATTCATCCCACAAACTTTCATTTCTGCAGTGGATTGGCACTTTATTATTATTATTATAGGCAAATTTTCATGAGTGATATATATATATTTTATTTTAGAAATTGAAAACTGGTTACCTTATATCTGTGTTTGTACTTTGGAGGGGTGCTTGTTAGGTTTCATATATATAATGTATATATTATATATATTTTTTAAAAATATTTTTTTCTTTCTTGATTTTAGAGAGAGAGGAAAGGGGAGAGAGAGAGAGAGATAGAAACATTGATGAGAGAGAACACTGATTGGCCGCCTCCTGCATGTCCCCCACTGGAGACCAGGTCCACAACCTGGGCATGTAATCTGACTGGGAATCAAACCAGCAACCTCTTGGTGCGTGGGTCAGTGCTCAACCACTGAGCCACATTGGCCAGGGTATGTGTGTGTGTGTGTGTGTGTGTGTGTGTGTGTGTGTATATATTTAACCTCCTTATCTGCCAAAAATATCACCAGCCTTACCATCCTCTGAGTGATGGTACATCTGATGACAGTGAGCATCAGTTGCCCGAGGAGATACACAAGCAGTGCCAAGGGCTGCATTTTCAACTTTCATTAAAATCCTCTTCGCCTGAAGCCCTAGCTCTTTAGGTCTGCAGCCTATGAGTCTATACTAATTTGCACAGTGGGGTTAAGTGCAAGGGCTAAAATGACAGAAGTTAGGGCTGCCTTCAGTATTAGAAGGATTAGAGGCCACCATCTGGCCCAGAATTTATCCAGGCACTGTGGATCAGCTTCTTGACATTAGCATAGTTTGGGAAAAGTATCACTTATGGTCAAAATTTTAAAAAGAATGTAAAACCAACAACTTTTAATGAACAGATTCTTAAAAAAAAAAGTCATGGCATTTCTTTTAGAGAAAGGAACCACCAATTGTGTTTATTGAAATATCCATTTGGAGATTCCAATTATACATTAAAACACTAAGGGGATTTTTGGAAGTATTTCAACTTAATGATCAGACATTTAAATATATGCAACACACGTGTAATTTAAAGGTCTGATTGCAATAATCAGTTCTTGGAATAAACGTGGGTGCACTTAAAGAAATGAGCACTTTACAGTTACATATACACTCACATATTATGTGGGAAGTTGGGTCTTTATGATGTTTTGTAAAAGGCAGAGGGGCTCAAAGTTCATTGCGTATGGTGATCAAGGAAAGAATTCTACTTAGTTTATTTCTCCTTCTTCTGGAACAAACGTAGATCAGTGTTTCCAGATGCAGAGAGGGTGGTGGTGGTGGTGGTTTTGCCTCCAGGGATCACTTAGCAATCTCTGAGACATTTTTGGTTGTCCATCTGGGGGATGGGTGGGTGCCTTTGGCATCTAGAGGCCAGGGATGCTGCTAAACATCCTACAGTAGATAAGAAAGCCCCTCCCAAGTAAGAATGATCTAGCCCCAGATGTCAATAGTGCTGAGGTTGGGAACCCTGATTTGGAGCATGTGCTCTGAAGGGAGAGGGGAAAGCGAGAGACTCTCATTCAAACAGCTTAGTTTGGAGAGCTAATATCTTCAAGTATTAAATTAGAGATAAAAATGTACTTGCAAATGATGATTCTCAAGCAAAATTATCTTTAGTCTATCTAAGTGCAAAATACATACCCCCAATTATAGTAATAAGTTTTTAAAAATTTGCATTTGGCTAGATTAAATATATATATCATAAAATATATTTTTGATCTATATCTTTAATGATTGACAGCACTTAAATTGCCCCCAAGGTTGTGGCCGTGGAGGAAGACTGTATGATGCTACTTTGAGAACTTACTTGAGCTTTTTGATTCCCTTCAGGTGAAGGAGTATGTACACCTAATCAGTATCTATGAAAAGAGACTCTCAAACCTAACTGTCCGAGTAGAGGTCATGGAAAAAGACACCATTTCTTACACTGAATTGGACTTTGAGCTGATCAAGATAGAAGTGAGGGAGATGGAGAAGCTGATCATCCGGCTGAAGAGCAGTTTTGTTGGAAGCTCAGAAATTGTTGATCAACTGGAGGTAGAGGTAAGGGGTGAACTCATTTCTCAGTGTATTCATAACAAATGCCTTCTGTTATCAGTGGTAGGATGAGGATATACAGATCTCTTTCTTCTCACTCCTAATGTGGTACTCTCTCACAACCACGTGACATATCCCGGTGTTCTGCTGCAGATGGACACCTGCCTTTGAATGGTAAGTTAAGCGCAACAAGAACATATTGCCTGAGGAGCAGGTGCCAAGTAATGATCAGGGTCTTGCCCCAGAACCAAATGTTCTTTTAAAGTCTCTAGAAAGGAGATGATATGGACAACTCCATGACCAAGGTAGATCAAGTGTCTTCTCTGTTCTGGATTTATCCTCATGGAACTAAAAGCCACAGTTCACCTCATTTTGGACCCACTAGGTCTGTTTCTCATTTTGAATGATCATGGAATCCTTGATCCTCTTGGAACTTCTTTTGACATACAGGCGACCCTTTTTAAAGGGGTTTCTTCTGAATATGTTTTAGTGAAACCTTTTAAATGCTGGGGATAAAGACCTGGTAGGGTAATTTATATCAATGAGAATTTACTAGCACAGTCTTGACATGGGCTATAATTGAGAATTCTAGTTACAAATTTTAAAATTTAAGTTTTCGCCAGCCCTCACCTCTATTAGAAACTTAATTGTGATACAACAGGAGTAAACACGACTTTATAGGAGAAGAGTATTAGAAATGAACATTAATGGACATTTGTGGATGCTTAGACCGAGCTATGCTCTATTATTAAAGCTGTTCAAATCTTTGCTATTTTCTTCTCATCACACACATCTGCCTGAGATCTGACAGGCATTCACGCTAAACCATGAAATGTATTCTTCCAAATGAAACCATTCAGAAGAGTCTCGGGTGTATTCTCTAGCGATGTTTCACTAAGTGACAAATTCAGCCCTGGAATGTTTATGGAAGAAATTGCACAATAACAGAAAGTCACTCTGAATTTTTATTTCCTTAGATAAGGAATATGACTCTCCTGTTAGAGAACCTCGAGACACTAGACAAAAACAATGTCCTTACCATTCGCCGAGAAATCGCGATTCTGAAGAACAGGCTAAAGGAATGTGAAGCTGCCAAAGGTGAAGATGTCCCTGCCACCCCGCCTCCTCCTGCGCCAGGTAAGACGCCATATCTCTGCCATTCGAGCCAGGCCCCAGAGCCTAGAGTGGGGTGGGGAAGGGACCCAGGATTGTAACCTTGAGGCAAGGATGGACTTTTTGCAGTTCTGACTTTACCATCTCTTAGATCTCCTTTCTTTGTAGCTTTACAAACGATCACATTCTGGAGCTCACAGAGGAAAAGCATGAACAATGAGTTGATTTAAGACAAAGTCCACATGTTACACATGTCTCCTCTGAATCGACTAACAGAACAAATATCCCTTCGGTGAGAAAGCCGCGGGCGGGGGGCCTGGTGCAGGCCTCTGGAACCTGTGTGGCCTCCACAGTGTCTGGGTTGTAAGGGCTGACTGGCTCCTTTGTCTGATGAGCTCGGGTTATGACTTGACTCCAGAGCCAGAGGCAGGGAGAGGGAGAGAGAAAAACATCGATGTGAAAGTGAAATACCCACTGGTTGCCTCCCTCACGTACTCCTGACCTTTCGGCGTATGGGACAGCACTCCAGCCCGCTGAGCCCCTTTGGCCAGGGCCCTCTGGCCTCTTCTTAAATGCATGTGGAGCACCTGCTGTGTAGTGTGTCCTGGGACTCAGAGAAGATTTACAGATGGCTTCACATGTCCTGTACTTGTGGGTGTCCCCTGGACTGAGTTCCTGGGGGGCAGGGATGGCATCTCACCTGCTAATGAATCACTCTTGGGATCAAGTATAGCATAGAAGTGGGTGCTCAGTAAGTACCCCAAGAATGTAAATGGAGGCAGTGGAGTGCAGGGATCGAGAGCATGGCTTTGGGTCCCCCCAAACCCGAGTTTCCCAGCTAGGTGGCCACAGTGAAAAGATCTTTAGTCCCTTCACTTATAAGATGGGAGAATAATAGTGCTTGCCTTGCAGGGTTGCGGTGAGGGTTAATGAAACAACGCTTGGGAGCTCAGAGCTCTGTGATGGGCACTTACACACTGGCAGTGGTTATTATTACTAAGGAGCGTAATTGAAGTGAAACCTTGCTGCGAACAAAGGCAGCACACCCCTCCCGGTGACCAGGAGCCGGCCTTTCCCGGCAGCATTCAGCCCTGTCCTTTAGACACCTTGTCACGGGGAAGCACTTGCTACAGGCCGTGAGCATCGCAGCCTGAATGAGGACTGCATCTTTTCATCAAACGGTCAGCTCTTGTTATTTTCATTAATGCCTATCATCACAACCTGCTTCCCTTCAGGGCTTGCGTTTCTGGATCCGTGTCAGTGTAGCGGGCTTCTTTAAGGCTTTAATTGGATACTGTTATTATAAGCATGTTGGTCTGTTCAGGGGACTCTCCTTCCTTCCACAGTTGGGAATCTGTCATCGTATGACATGCAGAGGAGTTGAGGACACAGGCCATGTTCTGTCCTCTGAAACAAAGTCAGGCTACATTGGGTCTGGGACCGGTGGCGTCAAATAGGTTGGGAACAAGAGGTCGCTGTGCTGGGCCACCAAGGGCTCCTCGAGGGCAGGAGTCAAAGCAATGACACCCTCTGAGAAAACCTGAGCAAGACTTTCTTTTTCCTTTTTCCTCTCTTTCGTTCTTTTTGTTCAACCTCAGCAATTCTTCCTCTCGGAATAGATTTTTCGGGCACTTATTTATTTATTTTTTGCCTCCCTCACAATGAGGACAGTTTGGAGCAGAAATGCACATTCAAGGACATCATTTCTCCGAGGACGGGCCTTCGATGGCGAGGAGGCGGCATTTCAGGAGGCCACATAGGTGGTCACAGAGCTGAGGCTGAAATGCAGGGCCCCGCCCTTCCTGGTCATCCCAGGACCTGGAGCTCAGGCGTCAGGAAGTCAAGGGCAGTGGTGGGGGAGAAAGTGCACTACTGAGTGTCTAAGGAGGAAAACAAGGCGTCTGCTGGATTGTTTTTGTTAGAACAGCGTTTCCCCAGAACTTTGCCCTAGGGCCCCACACTCAAGACTTTTGTGAGCCGTCCCTGCCCAGCTGTGTTGTTCAAGCAAATTGGACCCAGATTTCCTCTCTCTTTCCTGCAACCTTGGCTGTACCTGGATCCCAGCCAAGTCACTTGGCCCTTCTCCAGCTCTGTTCATATTATATTTATGATGTTTATATTAAACGGACTTTTTGTCATGTTTTTAAATCAATTTCTTTCACTTGCTCTTTCTGTTTGGATTGGTTGATGATGCAGAATTGAAAAATCCCCAGGCACCACCAAGTCGTGAGCCTGTGGAGACTTTAATTAAAGTTCCTCACTATTCTGGGACTTTAAAATCTGGCCTCTGTGCTCTTTGGACTGCAGAGTTGCACAGAACAAAAAAGACTGCATGCAAGTCTCAGTAATTCTGTGTCTTCTCGGCCCCTCCCGTGCCGCTGTGGTTTGCTCTCCCTGTGGTCAGCTTGATCTTAGAACCAGGACATGTAGTCAGGGTTCAATAAAGTGCACTTTACATTTGCTTTATGCTGCAAATGGCATCTTTTTCTGCTTCATTTCATAGAACTTCCTAATCTAAAATAATTGGCCTTCTGCTCATTAACTTTTTTTCTCTCTGAAAACAACTGACTCTGTCTCTCTCTGTTTTTCCCCTGAATCTAAATGACTGCATAGGCAAAATGTGATGGAAATTTCAGGGGTTGTTCACCATGGTGCTCGGAAATGCCGGGCTCTGTGCTGACACTTGAAAAGACACTCAGTAAGCCAGACTGGTGTGGCTCAGTGGTTGAGTATTGACCCATGTACCAAGAAGTCGCCAGTTCGATTCTTGGTCAGGGCACATGCCCAGGTTGTGGGCCCAATCCCCAGTGGGGGGCATGCAAGAGGCAGCCAATTGATGTTCTTTTTCATCCATGTTTCTATCTCTCTCTCCCTCTCCCCCCCTCTCTAAAATCAATAAAGGAAAAAAAATAAAAAAAATATATACTCAGTAAATGGTTGGTGCTTGACTAGGGTCTGAAAGATTTGGGGTGACCTGCCAAAATCCCAAGCCTAGGAAAGAGCAGGGTGTTGGGTAGCATATATCCAATAATTCAGAGTTAATTTAGTCTTAGTTATTTCTTGATTATTACCATTTTAATTGCCTGATTCTCACGAGTCAATTGTATTCTCCTCTTGGCTCAAAGTTCACTTGCCCAGGTGAGAGAGCATATTGATAGATCTAAGATTAACTTTCCTCTGCAGGCATATAATCTTTGGCTTTAAAGGAAAATGCTGACCATGATACTTTAAAAAAGCCCAGTTACAGTATTTTAGTTTCATCATGTGGCTTCCCAGGATATTTTCAGAATACCATGGCAGTATCTAACAAATTACATGGTGAAGACTGTGTAGAGGTTCCTTGTATTACGTTCTGTGACGTGAACACCAGGGTCTTCTAAAAATTCAGATATATAGCAGGGTAGAGAGCTGGTGTTTTATAAATAAGGATAGGTATGCTGGGTTTGAGAGATTTGATTAGGCCTTATTCCTTTATTCCACAAACACCGTATGGCTGGCTCTGTTTTGAGTACTGGAGTTACCGGGGCGGGTACAAAAGCACTATTCAGGAAGGGAGATAGTCAGGCGAACCTTCAGTGGTAACATGATGTGGGCGCGCTGCTGATAGTTACCGTTTATTGATTAGTTACATGTACCTACCTTCTCTCCGTTTCTCCTAACAGTCCTCAGAGTAGTACTATTATTTGTCTCTTAATATGAAGAAGCTGAGGCTTAGAGGTTAAGTAACTTGTTCAAGGATACACGGCTAGTAAGTATTGGAGTCAGGACTAACTTGGAATCTGTCTGGTAATATTTTCGTTGTACCAGGCTGCCTCCCAGAGATGCTCTAATAGAGAGAGGTACACCTAGAGTGACAAAAAAGTTCTAACAACCCACCAACAAGATTGATACCCAGTTATTTTTTTCCCCCTTGTTTGTGGAGGAGCTAATGGGGCACTTTTGCTCACAGTTCTATGCTGTGTTCTTTCCCACCAGAAAATGTAAAATGATTCATTGGTTTTACCCAATTCTTGGGTCATGGCTGAGCAATGGGTTGTTTTGCCAGGGGCAGGATAAACTTGGGATGGGATGGTGAAGAAAGGCATGGAGTGTCTTTAACATACTCTTTGAAAGAAGGAAGGGACTGGGAAGGGGTGTGAGGTAAGGGAGGGTGGGAAGAAGCTTAGGCTGGATGGGGATGTGGGGTGGGGGTGGGGCGTCTGGAGGGGCTACATGAGTAGTGGGCACTGGCTGTCACCGGCTGTCAGTTTTGCATTGTTTCCAAGACTATTTGCTGCCAGGAAACAGGGACGTCTGCCATAGCTTTCCACTGCTGTAGCCACATCTGTGGTACTGGCAACAATGCGTCGTTTTCCTCCCTGTATCCACTTCCTTTCACCACAGCCCTAAAAAGGGCCCAAAGGAGACAGAGGATCAAGTAAAGATAACAAACAAAACAAACAACCATAACATAAAACACAAAAACAAGCAGGAGAGTATTTAGGAATGGTTGGGAGGTGAGGAAAAGGGATTTAAGTTCATACAGTTTTTTAAAAAATACATGTTTTTATTGATTTCAGAGAGAGAGGAAGGGAGAAACATCAATGATGAGGGAAGCATGAATTGCCTGCCTCCTGCACGCCCCCTACTGGGGATCGAGCCTGTAACCTGGGCATGTGCCCTGGCTGGGAATTGAACTGGGGATCTCCTGTACATAGGTCCATGCTCAACCCCTGAGCCACACTGGCTGGGCTAAGTTCATACAGTTTTAATATTTATACCAGGTATCATTTTAATTTCCCGGTCAACATGCGAAATGATGAGCCATAACTATTATTAGTGCTGGTAAGAGTCATACTGATTAAAAGAAAGAGATTATTTTGATTCCTCTATATATAAGGATTTCCACATCTAGGATGGAGTAGTTTATCATCTTTAACCCCATGATAATGACTGAACTAGTTACATGCATCATACGTTTTCTTTAAATATTTTGTGGCTATTGGCTTGGGATATTTCCTTTTCAGAAAGGCAAGATTCAATGAAGCAAACAATTTCTAAGTCTTCTAACCTGCAAGAAAATAGAGACTTTTTTTATTTCCTCAGAGTGAAATATAGTTGAATAAATAAGTTCTTGGAAAGATATTTTAACTAGAAAATCCAGTTTGTAGCATATGGAAACTCAAATAGTTTTTGTTATCATTAAACTGAACACACCGCTAACTTTATTTTAATAATTCATGCATTGTTTCATAAACAAAAGCAAACAAGCATTCATCTGAGAGATCCCTTTTAGGAGAAGAAATAATAATTTATAATTTTATTTATTATTTCTTTAGTGAGAGCAGTCTCTTGGCTGAACACATGTTGCTTTTTTATTTATGAAATGGCGCATGCATTATTAAAATAAACCCACGACTGTGTTCTGCTTAATGATATGCAAAATTATTTGAGGTTGGGTACAGAGTGGTTTCATTTCTCTACCTGTTGTATGGTTGGCTGGCTCTCCCACCAAGTGCAGATTTATGAGAGCATTTAAGGAGCATGTATTTAATTCTGGGACCAAAAAGCACCAGCAGATTGGAAAAATAAAAGCAGGCTTTCTAGCAATGGTTCCACCCCAGCCCTTGAGTGAGGTGGGGAGAGGGAGGCATTTAGCAAGGAAGAGAATAGGTCAGGAGCACAGACTTGGAGGCAAAGGTCTTGTATCCCGTTGCCCCCTGCCATGCTAATCTCCGGCAATTCTTTAGAGCTTTGCTTTTGGCTCCAGCTCACCTCATAGGCTCTTCAGCTCCCCGATTCCCTTCCAAGCATGTAAAGCCAGAGCCAGCAATCCAGGTTCTGTTCCCTCTTCCCTCACCTGCTCTGCCCCAGGCAGCAGGATGAAGGAAATCACCTCAAATGTATTGAATTTATATTTTTGTTGTTGTTATCCAATGAACCATCTCACCCATTTTTTATTTAAATCTCACATTTTTCCATCTATCTTCAGATAAAATGGGAGAGAGGGAGAGAGACACATCCACTGGTTGCCTCCCACATGACCCCCGCCAGGGCCGGGGACTAATGAAACCGAGGTACGTGTCTTCAACTGGAATCGAACCTGAGACTCATTGGTACGCGGGCCTATGCTCCAGCCGCTGAGCCAAACCAGCCAGGGCTATCTCATCCATTGTTAAGGGTATTTATTAAGATCCCAGGGAACATGTGTTCAACTCTTTGAATAGTTATTATAAAAATATGGAGGAATTTTATTTTATTTTTTATAGCTCATAAACGGTTTGAGAGCATAGGCATTTTAGAGGAAATGCAATGTGAAGGGCCAATTACCCAGCCTGCGTCAGTCACCACGTGTTACAGGGGATGTGGATTCAGTGGACCAGTGAGTCTGGTCCCACTTGACTGTATACACTGTGATGAAGTCAGAATGGGATGAGGAGGCACTTGCCTGTCATTCAGTGGTGCAGTAGAATACAAGTGGTAAACAGCGAGACTCTCCTCACAGCTCTGCAGCAAGGTTGTCACCAAGTGCTCCATGTGGCGGGCTGTTATAGGGCATGGAGCAGGCAACATTGCCCTAAAATAACTCCCACAGCTCCTCAAGGCTGAAATCCCCCCATGATAGAACCCCTATTCTGTACCTTCAAAATACAATATTGAAAACTTCCTCTATTCAGATTAGCTTGGGGCAGCTTTGGGACCCGCTGCAGCATTGCACTTGGGATCTCAGGGAGGGGCAGAGAGGCGAAGGGAAGAAGACTTGCCCAGGACAATCTTCTCCTTCATCACAATCCTCCCTGACCCTCGTGAGGGTCACCTTTGGGCTTTATGGAAACAAGCTAAGATTCTGGGACGATCCTGCTTTCTTGATTTCTCTATAATAAAAATGAAATAAAATACTATTTGCAAAATTCTTCCTGGTAGAAGAAAATCTATTAAATTCACCAAATCCCCCCTTTCTGTCTTTGGGCCATCGCTCTAACGTTGGCAGTTTCATTATCCCCATTTTCCTGCTCGAGAGCCAATCGTGGAAATCAAAGGTAGTTCTCACTAGAGCTGACAACAGTTTGTACTGAGACTGAAACCGAGAGAAGGCTTGGCTCTTCTCCACTGGGACCACGGGTGTCATGGGATGCTGTGCCTTCTGTAGTTCTTAGGCTCTTACACTGTTTGTATCTCATCATTCATTTTTTCTAAGAATGCCCTTTCGTTTTCGTGTTTGTACAGGGACCTGTGCTCACGGTGGTGTGGTGAACGTCAGCAAACCCACTATAGTTCAGCTCAACTGGAGAGGGTTCGCCTACAAGTACGGTGCCTGGGGCCGGGATTATTCTCCCCAGAATCCAGACAACGAGCTGTACTGGGTGGCGCCTTTAAATACAGATGGAAGATACTTGCAATATTACAGACTCTATAACACAATGGATGACCTGCTATTGTATGTAAATGCCCGAGAGAACCAGATCACCTATGGCCAAGGCAGTGGTATAGCCGTTTACAATAAGAACATGTATGTCAACTGGCATAACACCCACAGCATTGCCAAAGTCAACCTGACTACCAACAAGGTTGCTGTGACTCAGATTCTCCCTGATGCTGCCTACAATAACCGCTTTTCCTATGCTGGTGTTGGTTGGCAAGATATTGACTTGGCTGTAGATGAGAATGGATTGTGGGTGATTTATTCCACTGAGGCCAGCACTGGTAACATAGTGATTAGTAAACTCAATGACACCACACTTGTGGTGCTAAACACTTGGCACACCAAGCAGTATAAACCATCTGTTTCTAACGCCTTCATGGTGTGTGGGGTTCTGTACGCCACCCGTACTCTGAACACCAGAACAGAAGAGATTTTCTACTACTATGACACAAACACAGGGAAAGAGGGCAGACTAAACATTGTAATGCATAAGATGCAGGAAAAACTGCAGAGCGTTAATTATCACCCTTTTGACCAGAAACTTTATGTCTATAATGATGGTTACCTTCTGAATTATGATGTTATCTTTGGGCAGCAACCCCACTAAACCCTTTAGGTGTTAGGGCAATAGAGAAATAAAATAGTAGTTGAAAAAAAATGTTATTCTCCATTTATTTAGATACCTGCAAGCTTAGTACTATTTTTGAGAGTATAGTTCTACCATGCTAGAGACTTATGATATTTGCCCTCATTTGATGAGCTCCCTTGGGAGCCAGCTGCCTCCTAGGGTGCATTTCCTTACTGACATAAGGTCCTTTTAGAGTGGAATTGTCAGGGTCCAGGGATATCATGGGTCCAGAAAAGCCTTTAGAGAGGTGACCTGTGGAAAATAAAGAACTTAAGGAAGAATTTGCATGGTTTTTGAGGATTCTTTGTACAGCAGGGAGGGCTCAATGACCAGTCTCCTCCATGCAGCCCTACAAATTCGTCCACACCTGAAAAATCCTGGGGCCAAATTAGGCAGGTGAATGCCTGAAGCTCCTTGAACAACCAAATCTTTAACTTTGTTTTCTTGCTAGCACCTGAAATGGTATTTTGTATGCAGCAGATAAGTACATTTAGCATGCTTATATTTTATCTGTAAAATGCTATGAGTTTTCTGAAGAAAAGTATTTTTATACATCAAATTGTATACTGCAAATCAACGCCATATAGATCTGGAGAAGAGGCACTGGATTTTTTTCCGCCCATTGTCTACCTATCAAAAAGTTAGTAGAACCCTTCTACCTCATTACTTCACTCCAAAGGTAGCTTGGGAGATTGGGAACAGACTTACCAACCAATGCCCCCACCCTCTTCCTACCTCCTGCGTTTTATAAAAATTAACCTTTTTTTTTATGGAACAGGTATAAGATAAAATTACATTTTTTTTCCTCATCATGAACTTTTACTTCCATGACTCTAAGACTGTAAGAAAATCAGATGGCAGAGATAAAATGATGGCCCTTCTGGGTCTATAACAAAGCCCTTGGAGCATATGCGAGACCTGTGTGAAGTCATATCGATTGTTTCATGCAATTTTTTTCTTTGTTTAAGACAGACTCTTGTAAGAAAATAAACTTTTATTTGAATTTTTGAAGAAGAAATGTAGAAAACCTGCTGCAAGTACCTCGTAAATCAATGCAGTTGAAAACCTCGTAGGTGTACGTGCTTCTGTGCAAAGGGAGGCTTGTCGCCGGCCTCGGTCTCTTCCCTGATGGCCATGCTCTGCTCTGCAGAACCACCTCCTGCTATGCTATACTCCTCCCCTCTAGTGAATGATTAAAATGCGCTTTAAAAAATCGTTGTCTTTTGTTTTATTTACTCTTCTTATTTAATTAGGAAAAAAATCTCTTAATAGGCTAGCTTATACTTGCTAGGTACAGAGGTACAGAGAATGGCTCCCTCCCAAACGCCGTGCCTGGGAGATCACGTCCGTGACAGCAGATAACAGTAAGAGCTTTTAAAGGAGCCCCAAGCCAGGCTGGTTTTTTCATTTCCCTTAAAATCCATTCTTTCTGGCAGCTTTTGTTGGATGAGGCCGCACTATTTTCTTTTGGGATATGACCTTATGTACTTATTAATTTGCATGACTAGTCTGATTATTTCCAACGTTAGACTATATTTGTGTGGCTTATGGTCCTTTTCCAAATGAGCTATTAATATGGGCCAGGAACCTCCAGATCTTCCTGAACAGTAGGTCTTGCACAGGGAGCAAGGGGCTACTGGCCCTACTGGGGAGAGAGCACCTTTGTCGAGGAGAATGTCCAGGGGATGGGTGACCTAGAGCTGGAAGGACAGACAGACAAAGCTGGTGTAGTCGGTCTTACTGAAAAGCTCATTTTCATCCATGCCAAGCCTTTGAGGCAGGTGGTAGCTGTAATAGGTAGTATTTTTAGCAAGATTTCCCCCTGTTGTTCAAAGCTGGGCATAGAGACAGGTGTGGCCTTCAAAAATGCAACAAGAAATGAAGATAAAGACAGGCATGTCATGTGAGGTCTGAGTTAAAAACAGTGATGTTATATGTAATCTGGCTCTAGGCAATTTTCCAGATGACTGTTTCCACAGAATGCACAGTATGACCTCGAAGATCCTGGAAAGGAGGCAGGAAGCCAAGGTAACTCCAGCAATCAGCATCTTATTTAAATGGTTATAGAAGCGTTTGCCTGAAAATTCCCTTCAGGACCTTCTTCCCGCTGGACGCGGTGGGTCAGCGGGCAGCGGCCATCTGCAAGAACTCTCCCTGCCGGGAGGTTGAACAACTGAGGGACTCAGGTCCCAGGGTTTTCTGAAGATAAATAGAAAAATATCCTCCAGTGAAGATTTTTTTTTTAAAAGGGTGCAAGAAGCCCTGGCTGGTTTGGCTCAGCGGTTAGAGCGTCGGCCTGTGGTCCGGAGAGACCCGGGTTCGGTTCCCGCTAAGGGCATGTACCTCGGTTGCAGTTTGTCCCCAGCCCTGGTTGGTTGTGCGGGTGGCAGCCACTCGATGTGTCCCTTTCACGTTGATGTTTCTCTCGCTCTCTTCCTCTCTCTCCCTCCCACTCTATCTGTACAAAAAATGGAAAAATGTCCTCAGATGAGGATAAAAAAAAAAAAGGGTGCAAGAAGACTTTCCAGGGGGGATAAAGCAAAAAGTCACACAACACACATGTTAGCTCAAGATTCATCAGCTAGCTTTCCTTTGGGAAAAAACACCATCACCAAACTGTGTACGTATATTTAAATCAGCTTTACTGAGATATAATTTACATGTAGTAAAATCTGCCAATTTAAACTGTATAATCAAATGAGTTTTGACAAACGTATACAGTTGTATCAAGGCTACCATAATTAGCATATAAAACATTTTCATTATCCCCCCTGGAAAGTCTTCTTGCACCCTTTTAAAAAAAATCTTCACTGGAGGATATTTTTCTATTTATCTTCAGATAGAGTGGGAGGGAGGGGGAGAGAGAAAGAGAAAGAGAGAGAGAAACATCAATGAGAGAGGGACATATCAACAAGTTGCCTCTCGCAAGTCCCTGACCAGGGCCGGTGGACAAACCACAACCGAGGTACATGTCCTTGGCTGGAATCGAACCTGTGACTCATTGGTCCTTGGGCTGACGCTCTAACTGCTGAGCCAAACTGACCAAGGCGTTCTTGGACCTTTTTATAACAAACTCCTACCCTCATCTCCCAGACCCTCGAAACCACTGATCTGTTTTCCATCTTTATGGAATCATGCAATACACAGGCTTTTGAAGCTGACTTCTTCAGGTCTTGTGCAAAAGAAAACTCATGGGCTCAAATTACCCCAGAGGGTGACTGAGAATTAAAAGTGACACTTAGGGCTTCCTACATGTCTGTTATTGGGGGGCAGTTGAGGGAATTTTGAAGAACTGGGTGACCTGCTTGCCTGAGTCACCTAGAGTTGCTGGGGGTGATGGTGTTTAGCTCTGGACACCAATCAAGCTGACTGGCAGGAGTTTCCAAACCCTGAAAGTTCCCTGCCTCCAGCTTTTATTCAATGTTTGTTCTCCCGCCTCTGCCCGTGTACCACGAACATCTCTGCCTAGGTGAGTCCTCATGCTAATTAGTGATGCGCAGAGGTTAAGAGTGTAGGATTTGGAGTCAAGCCAAACTGGATATGACTCTTGGTTCAGCTGCTTACAAGTGACATGGTGTTGGGCAAGTTCTTTAATTTTTCTGATACTCAGTGTTGTTTTCTGTATAACGGGATACAGCCAGCCACCCAGAGTTCTGTTGGGTGAATTAAGTGTTATTACGTATATGAAGTGTATAGTACAGTCTTTGGCTCATGCTCTGCCCTCCACAACGAATGATTATCCCTGTTTCTCATTTTGAACTTTAGGTTCAGGTTGGTCATTGGGCTGACAAGTCACAGAGCTAACTGGGACCAGAGCTTACACGTTCTCCCCTGTAAGACTTGTTGCAATGACTCTTTCAGTAAGTGCCCCTCTGGTAGGAACGCGTTCCAAAGGCTACAATGGCCGCTCTCTGTCTCCAACTCCACAGCACAGCCTCCGAGCTTACATCCTCCATGCTGTGACTCCAAGGGACGGAGCAACGTGAGCAGGGACAGTGCTTCCCTTTTCTATTGAGCCACCGAAAACCTACCTGAGGGCCAGCTTTCATCAAGCCCCACTGGGCGACCAAACACATGCATAGTTTCTCCCACTTGCTTTGCTGGGGTCAGTGGAACTGCAATCCCCTCTGAACAGGTGTAGATATTTTTTTTCTGTACTCTGCTTCTAGTAAAATATATTTATCTTTTAAGGTTAGCTTCCACTGCCAGACATAAGACTGTGCTTCTTTTCTCTTCTTGATCTGCGAGCCACTGAAAGGAAAATGGTAGTGGACGGACAGAGGGTGACTGTGTGGCCGCCTTCAGGAGGACAGGGAGGTTCTGGATGTGAGCTCCCAGTCATCTCTAACAGATGTCACACCATCGAGGATGATTAGCCTTCTGTGCTCCAGAATGTTCTGGAACAACAAAAGGGTGAATTGTGACACATCAAAAAAGAAAAGGCAGGCACGGTTCTCAGGCACACTCCCAGGAGTGGAACAGACCAGATGGCCTGGCTCGTGGATGAGATGCTATTTGAGCTGTCAGTTCAATTGCCAGGCCTCACATCTGTACTTCGGGATGCGCCCACTTGTCTCCGAGATCTGCATCTGCTCTTGGAATTCACTCCAAGGAGACAGCCCTTGGAGTCGAGATCGTGGTGAAGAAAGATGGTCTGCAATCTGTCCAGAGGGGAGGCTGCTCCTCGGATGCCACCGCCGGACGTCCTGGACCCTGTGAGCTTGGTTTCCCAGGCCTGATATTGGAATATTAAAAACAAACAAACAAACAAACAAACACCTTTGGTGTGTTTGGGGACTTCTAAGTGGTTTTCCTGGAGTTCCATGTGTGTGAAGGATGAGGATGGAACGATGCACCGGGGCCAGGGTTCACATGAACTCGAAGGGATTTGGTCCTTTAGCTGTCACACAGGAAGTGTGTACTGACCCTCAGGGCTCTCCAGTCACCTCTCTTTTTAGTTAGACTCTACCAGCTCCTGT